ACGTATTTAATAAAAACTTTTAACATTTTTTTTTTGTTCAATTCACAACTCTTAGTCTAATAAGGCTACCCTTAAATTCTACCTCTTTCTTTGAGTATCGGCCAAAATACGTAATTACGTTTTATTGCTTACGATTTTGAATAATGCACTTTATGTCTTACCTATAAGGGCTACATTCACAAATTAGAAACGATAATGATTCCTTCTCGTCTTAAAAACTGCGTCAAATTACAATAAACACATTTTATATAACGTCAAATCAACTAAAATAGGACTTAAATTACAGAAAAATAAAGTTGTTTTGTAATTTCAATTTCGAGTATTTTTATTTTTTTTTTATTTTTAATGACTAAAAATAGGACAAGTTCACTTATAAGTTTCATTTAAAATTCAAATTTCGACAACGAGAGCAAACCGTCGCCACATTTACGAATAGAAACTTATTAACTATTTATGATATTATGCATCACAAAACAACGTCACAAATCAACGATGTTCTGTCTACTGCTTAAATGATAAAATCTAAATGCAAAAGAGTTAAAATATAATAATAATAATACAAAGAAAAACACTTTATTCGAATGAAATAATGTATTCGAAACATTAAATACGTAATAAATTAAAAATTAAGTTGGTCGTAAAAATGTGTGCATACAAGTTTAATTATTAACTGGCAACATTTAAAAGACAAGGTTTTTGGTTGCCAATGGACTTTTTATCCGGCTAATAAATAAATAAAAAAAAAACAGGTTTTTGGTTTTTTTTATGTTTCTGTAAATATATGTATTCGCATCAGTCACAGTTTAGTATTGCCAAGCTAATTAATGATCGGCAGTGTTGCTAATCACAAAGAATATTTTATTTAATTATGTTATCTTATCTAATCGTGGTGTCGTGAATAGCGATATTTAAACTTTATTACAATACAACCGTTATAGTTTTATCTCGTCTTATTCAATCATATAATTTTCACGTTATAAATTATATTGCACACGTTCTTGTATGCACACTTCGTTATATTCTTAAACGTATTGAAAATATGATAAATATTGTTATTTTTTTAAATAATACAGTGTATAATTATGATATGCTAACGATATGATCAAAAATCTACCCGGGTTTCCAAACCAGCCCACTAGTAATCTTATTTATAAATAACGTATATTTCTTACATGCAATACAAATTTTATGCCTTAATGATTATATTAAATTTTTATATATTGTCAGATCTATCAGGAAGCATGTTACATTATTAATTAATTAGTAATTGATGGCGTTTCATTGACTCTTAGTTTTATTTTAAGCGTATATTGTGGACACAAGTGCAACCATAGGCCCGACGAGTAACTAGATTCATATTTATAGGAACTTTATATTCAATTTGTTTAATTTAATATTTCAGTCGAGACTTAAACGAGATTCTTATAAGCTTATAGCACTTATAGCACACCCCATTCAAAGTAAGGCAAGCTATCTGATTATATTTTTATTACAATGAAAGAAATCATAATCAAATCATAGCCACTAATGACGTCAAAGTTTTCATGTGTATTAATAAAATATGTTTTTGTGCCAGCATTCCTTTCCCGGAAAACAGAACGGCGAAATACTATTCTAACTCTATATGCGTTTGTCACTCCGATATTTTATGGACAATCTAAATTATTTCTTCAAAGTTTTTTTTTAATTTGGAGATTCGCTCAGATTGCTTTAATAAATGGAATGTCAATCTGTTAACAAAAATTATAATGTCAATGGACATCCATATTGTTTTGGTTTTTTTTTATGAGCCGTATTCATTACAACAACTACATACAACGAAAAAATCTAGACACGAATAGGATGGTATTGATTTTAACAACAACAAAAAAACAAACAAAAAAGTTAGGATTTAATTGCATGGGTTTTTTTTTTTGCTTAGATGGAAGGACGAGCTCACAGCCCGCCTGGTGTTAAGTGGTTACTGGAGCCCATAGATATCTACAACTTAAATGCGCCACCCACCTTGAAAATGAATGGGAGCAAATGGGACAATACGTTTAGGCTATTTGACATTTGATAGTTCATTAGTATTGGATTTTATTCGATAGCGGATTTTTGCACTTGTGTCACCGCAATACCATCTACTTTAAGTATGTACCTATAAGAGATTTAATGATAAACATTTCTTAGACAGATTATACAAAAAATTAACACTATCTCATTCGTTGTCATAGCGACAGTAATAGACCGAACCACATCTTGTTGATTGATATGATTTAACGAATAACTCAAAGGGAAGTCGTTAATAACAGCCTTATTGTTTTGTTTTAATTGATTTTTAGTCAAAAATTAAACTGAGAAATCAGTGTAAGTTTTAAGTTACACTTCTATTGGCGCATGTGATAGAATCAGATATTTGTATTTTTAGTGTGCGACGACTTAACTCATTTATTTCATTATAAAAGTCGTGTATCAAGATAAGAGGCTATATTTATGCAACTATTATTTACGAGTAAAATTGTATATAAGCAAATAAATAGATTCTGTCAATATTCTTTGTTTGATAATTTAATTGCACCAGAGAAGTGTAACTTCTTACATGCGTATATAATTATATGCATATACTTATAGAGTACATATACAGCTTTTTTTTTTTTAAATAAAAGAATACTTTTTATGGTGAACAACGAAAAGCCGTTACAAGATGAAATTGATTTGAAATTTATTAATACATTAATATAAGATCGGGATTTTTCTCGATTTTATTAACAATTGTTTATTTTTATTGCTGTTCCTTCATCGTTTTGTGTGTACCATGTAAAATATCACTCACCTCGTTTTCGACAACTTGATTCCGTTTCAATGAATCACCGATCTCAATTCCTCAATAAACGTTAAAATGATCATGACTTGTGTATTGATTTGATCAAAGTCCTCTCACTAAAATGCTCACTAACATATTATATCAAGTGCACTTAATGATCACTCACCTAAAAAACGTCCGACTTTCAATATTACTTTCACGTATTTACCATTCTCATCGCTACCAATAAAGTAGCAATGTCCCGTGACACAACTAAAGCTAATACACGCCAATACGAGAGATATTTGCATAATATTCATTTTTCAAATGTTTTTTTTTTCAAAGCAATGCTTTCATAAAATTTATTGTGAAAGTAAAAAAAAAGTTTTATTTTGTGTAAAAGTTATTCGGTTAATGCTGAAAATAATGATATTTATACCTTTTTTTTTTTTACTTTTTTTTTACATTTTTTCCCCATATTGACGTGGCATATCTTTTTACTCGAAAAAACCTACAAATAGCTAAAATTAGCCTACAATTTGTGCGATATTTCGATGAACGTAATTGCGTATGATTTTATCGTATCTTATAATTCGTAGCGGTTAATTTACATTACGTTATAATGTTCCACACGATTCTAATAATAAAACTTTTTTTATCCTCTTTCAGCGAGGTCTCCTTATAATACTAAAAAATGTAAGCCTCTTATTTATTGTAGTAATTTCACCGAAGTAAACCCGATGTACGGAACACGGCGTAAAATATAACTAGTGTTGTAGCTTCGCGTCCGCTGATAATTTACCTGATATGTGTACTAGTAACACGTATTTGTCGTTATGATATGTGAGCACGCTAATTCGTTTTCGAATTTAGAATTAATCAAAATGGTAAACTCTTTTGTGAAACAATAAATTAAATGAATTGTCCGATAATCATGATAGATGATAATCTTAATTTTGTTCACTTAGAATAGAAAACGAAAATGTCTTTAACATAAATAATAAAGACTAAGGCAGAGTTTTTTTTCTATGATTTATAAACTGTACTTAAACACACTGTATTTATTGTGACAGCTGTCAAAGATTGTAGCTATGTTTTTCTAATCTTGTGGAATATAAACGTTATAGCTAATCGTAGATAATTCGCGAGAAAATATTCTTAGTTTTCTAGAGGTGTCTATACACCTAAAAAAAACCTATCTATATAGTTTTCTTTTTTAAATTGGCCCAAAGCTTGGCAATGGGCGGAAGTTTTCTTGAAATATTTGTTTTTTCTAAATTTCTGATGATAGTAGTGTCGTTAATTGTTGATTCCAGTGTCATTTCAATTGAAGACTATTTTAGGATGTATGTCATTAGTATCATTTACACAATGTATCTATTTTTTTAAACCAAGCATTTAAGCAAATATATTTTTAGCTAGAATGCAAATAACTGATTATTGTTCAACATATCCGCTAAGGAGAAGACAAGACACGCGATGACTAGAAATGAGTTAGGAAGATCTCTCGTGCGAAAGAAAAAGAGAACTCGCTATTAAAGTTTGAGACGCGACATGAGAGCTCATAAATAAATTTAAATTAAACAATATCCATCCGTTTGGCTCGTTCAACTCGATTGCAAAAAATTATATTAGTCATTTAAACCGTTTTAAAGGTTTACTACGCAACCGGATTTGTGTGACATTTTTATTTATTCAAGGTCATTTGATGCGCGTCTTGTGTTTCATTGATGGTCGATGTATAGTTAATTTGTGTTTTTTTTTAATTCGCGCTCTATAATCATTCGCATCTGATTCATTTATTTCGTACTTAATAGGCGCCATTTAACACACATAATCATAAATCAAACTTTAAATGGCTCTGTTGTAAAGTTTCAGAAATGTCGCTCAAACAAAATAGCTTTTCAAACTTCGATATGCGAATCGTTGATAAGAATCTTCGAATTATAATCATATAATATCATTTTGTAGGCAGCGGCTTGGCTCTGCCCCTGGCATTGCTGAAGTCCATGGGCGACGGTAACCACTCACCATCAGGTGGGCCATATGCTCGTCTGCCTACAAGGGCAATAAATATATATAAAAATACATAAATAGTTTCAGTATGGTAATTTATTTTTCCCTACCTAAGCTGATAGCCTTCTAGAGGCTATTTCAGCTTCACCCTAACGTTTGTAGGTGAGCTCACGGGGCTCAAACCGGAGAGTTGCTAACACTGACCCTAGCAAGAGCAGTGCTTCGCAGAATCTACCACCGGATCGGAAACGCGACTCACTGAGAAGATCCGGCGAGAAACTCAGTGGGCTAATAACGTAATGAATTTCACAAAAGAGTTCACCCATCGTTGGATGCGCGAAGCATTTAAACATTATTTAAAAATCACCAATAGGACTAGTAAATATACGCAATTCCTTTCGTTATTCTTCGTTCGGTTAATCTAGTATGACCCCTCCAGGTCACTAGATTAAGTAAGAAAAAAGAACGTTATTTTATGTAGTGTACTTTTCGTGTACTCGTCGGTATTATTGTTACTGAAGTACTTGGACGGAGATCGTGTACACATCCTAAGTAAATTCCAATTAAAAGACTTACTTATTACATTGCGTTATGACACAAAATCCAATGTAGCGACCAGTTATTGCAATTCACGTTCACTGGAATTACGACCGTATACGTTAATTTTTAAAGTTTAAAATCACTGTTCGTTTATTGTTATTCCAAAGTAATATTGTTTATCTCACTTTATATTGGTGTTTTTGATTTTTATCTACATTTATCTTTCCAATCCAATTATATTATCCAATTAGAATACTTACTCATTACGTTGTGTTACGACACATAATCCAATGTAGTGAGTAGGTATTGCAATTCAAGTTCATTGGAATTACGACTGTATAAGTTTATTTTTAAAGTTTAAAATCACTGTTTGTTTATGTTCCAAAGTAATATTGTATATCTCACTGTATATTGGTGTTTTTGATTTTTATCTACATTTATCTAAAGCCTCTATCGAGACCAACATATTGAGCGATCCCTAGATTTTCAACTGCAAATTTCAATCAGCACGCTTTTTAATAATTAATATATTATATACGTTCACTTAAATTATTATATTCTTACTATTTAAAAATAATGCACTTCTATCCTAGTCGTGTCTATGAAGGAAGCATCAACATTTTCAATTCCGTGAGTGCTAGACGCCTAAGCTAAACGCATCAGATGATCGAGTTTCGAGTTGCTTGAAGAATTCATATATATGTATATATATATATATTTTTTTTAAAACAAACAATTCGAATCTCGCAAATGGTCCATCATTACAATAACGATATTACAACGCACCCACAGTGTGTTGGGCGCAAACTCACTCGGTTCCAGAAAGATCTTGATTTCGTTTTTCATAACTTTTCCTTATTTTCTTTTTTCTGCGTTACGGTACAGAGAGAAGTCGTGGAAGAATTCGAATGGAAAATATTTCGATTTAAACACAATAATTTTAAAACTTACATCAACTAAACAAGTACATGATCTTATCAAAAATATTCGATGCATTTAATGCGAGTTATTTGATCGAATTAAAATGCTTTAAAAATATTCTTAAATAAAATAAAATGTAATACGATAAAATGCTCGTTTTGTAAATGATTATGTGTGTTCCGTGTACCTTTATTGGATTCATTCAGTAGATAGTCGCTTGTGGATTGTTGAATGATATGTAACGCCATCTGGAATGTAAAACAAATGTGATTGGAAATTTTTAATCGATATTAGCCATTATTTCGATATCGATCGTGGCTCCGATATACGACACGAGATCCAGTCGTTTTAAGGTGATGGTTTGCCACCTTCTGCTCTTACTAGACACCTCTTATGACAGCTTGGAAAACAAGCACGTCAAAAACAACTTCGAACAACAATCTTGTCCAATTTAATCGGATAAAACACAAACAAATCCACAAATGTTCGTTTTGATATATTAAATTGATTTTGTTAATGTTTTTCAATACACGGAGTTAATTAAAATACATTTACAACTAAACTTCATCTTTGTTTTATATCGCGAAGCAGCCGTGCATTCTGGTTCGAAGAAACTTTGATCTCACGGTTAAAAGTAGGTGGTGGTATTCGAGTCAACCCCCCAGCTCGTCAGACTAGAGTTGTCCAATGCTGAGTCTACGTGTCTCCCACAAGATGGCGCTAATCAATTTATTAACTATTGTATAGAAGCTACTACTGTATAGAGATGGTAGGTCATTGATGAACGAAAACATTAGATCGGTTCGGGGAGGTGTGTCGCGTTAAGAAAACATTATCCTTTGAGTGCTGTAAAGATATTTTAATCCGAAATTTGATAAAGGTTTTTCTACATATTTGTAATCTGGACATTGACGTGTCTAAAACTAACCACCCATACTCACTTTACTTGTATTGGTATACAACAATACTATACAACAACATACGGTAACAATACTAGCTCCATGTAACGAAAGCTTTTGGCAGTATTGGTGATTATTCAATGGATAATTTTGAAATTTAAAAAAAAAACTTTTTTAAATAAATATAAAGATATTTGGTACAGTGCGCAGTGAATAAGAAACAAATCAACTGAGCCGCAGAGTCAAATAGTGCGTCGTCTATCGGTGTCATGTGAAACGAGGACGAGGGAGGCGTCAGCCAGCTACGTACCTAAACTCACAAAATATTAACTTCCTAAAACACTGAGTATTAATTAATTTATTTATTTAACTTAATGCACAGAAGTACAATGGCGGACTTAATGCCTGAGGCATTCTCTACCATTGAACCAAGAGTGGTGTAGATGTTCAGCTTATCAAATTAATATTGTTTCCTGTTTGTGTATGTAAATAACTGTAAATTTTTTATGTTTTCGGGCTTCGGCAAAAGAGACCTAGCATTTTTATTGAGTGACTTGGTGGCGCTGTGGTTAGCAGCCCTGACTGCTGGGACGAGGTTATCGGGTGTGATTCCCACTTTGGGCAAACACGAACGAACGAATGGATTTATTTGTTCTTTGACTGGATGTTAGTATCTACATACTATGTCTTTTACTTAAGCCTATATAAGTATGTATAACAACATCTGGTGCAATAGTACTGGTCAATGCATCACCGCTTTCGATCGAGGACCATGCAAACAAAATTGCGGGAATTCGGGCAATGATGCATTTAAAAATTATCAAAAGACAAAAAAAAATTGTATAGTATTCCCATCGTACCGGTGTGTAGTTAAGATCAAATCATGTGCTTTATTAATAAATGTGGAGTTTAAACATCTTAAATAATAAACAGAGTAATGAACGAAATTTCGCATACAAACCGCTCAAGGCACAGCTAATTATAGATGCTGTGTTCAGAAAGCAAACGGTTATTTGTGATGTGATGTGGTGAGGTAGTTGATTTTTTTTGCTGTTCTTGTATGTGAAAGTGATTTTCTGGATAGTGACTTTCATCGCCGCCCATCGACATCAACAATGCTCAAGGGACAAGCAAAACGTTGAAAGCTCTTTCCAAATTAATCTTTGAACGAAATGTCATATCGCTCAGGAAATACCAGTTACGCTATGCTCTGACCAGTAAAGGAGCTCACGGGCTCAACCTGAGAGAATCTGCTAACACTAGCCCTAGCAAGAGCAGTGCTTCGTAGAATCACTGGTGGTTTACTGGTGGTAGGACCTCTTGTGAGTCTGCGCGGGGAAGGTACCACCACCCTGCCCATTTTCTGCCGTGAAGCAGTAATGCGTTTCGGTTTGAAGGGTGGGGCAGCCGTTGTAACTATACTTGAGACCTTAGAACTTATATCTCAAGGCGGGTGGCGCATTTACGTTCTGGATGTCTATGGGCTCCAGTAACCACTTAACACCAGGTGTGCTGTGAGATCGTCCACCCATCTAAGAAATATAAAAATAAAAAAAAAATCTACCACCGGATCGGAAACGCGACCCACTGAGAAGATCCAGCGAGAAGAAACTCAGTAGGCTGCGTCTATGGGTTAATTTACTCGTCGAGCCCTTCGTCGCAAGCGACAGGTTCGGCCAGGACGGTGACCGGGAAATCCGATATAAAACAGTCAGCACTGAAGTCACGAAAACGAACAGCGTAATGGTTCTTTTGTAAAGAAATTTGGTATTCAGGTCGATAACGAAAGATTAAACGCATCGATTTTTTTAAATTTTGACAATACCGTGAATCGACGTCAGTTAAATAGTTACATACGCTCCGTAGAAATTGTTCGCATTAAAACCAGGCAATTATGGGACTACCAAGCGATATATTTGTGTATAATCGACACATATGCACTAAGCTTTCGTGCCGGTATTGCTGTTATAATTTTCCCGTTACGAAGCCGAAATGACTCATCACCTCAATATACGACGGAAAATATTATTAATTTGGTACCTAATTAATAACAATTGAACATTAACGTTTGGTAATAAACACAGATGTGTGTTACTTACTTTACTTATAGTGTATCCAGCAACAATTAATGTAGACAAGAAAGCATCGCCACTCGAAATACGTAGATTCCATCACTGAGTTATCGTATATGTTTCTAAAGGATCAAATTCTTTGCTTGTCATATGGGTGGCGTTGTGAGCCATACGATAACCCCATAAATTCATGGCTTCTTTACACGCCATCTGAAAGAAAAAAAAGATACTTTATTAGATTAAGATTTTTTTATTGCTTAATGGGTGGACGAGCTCACAACCCACCTGGTGTTAAGTGGTTACTGGAACCTATACACATCTACAACGTAAATGCGCCACCCACCCTGAGATATAAGTTCTAAAGTCTCAGTGTAGTTACAACGGCTGCCCCACCCTTCAAACCGAAACGCATGACTGCTACACGGCAGAAATAGACAGGGGGGTGGTACCTACCCGTGTGGACTCACAAGAGGTCTTACCACCAGTATTGATAGCTAACGCTATTGGGCACGTATCTTGCGATTCTTGTAAATATATTTAACTCATTAATCTACTTATACTGAACTCATTAATCCTATAAGTTTGGATATATTAATGATACACAGACTTTTATTACTTTAGGTCGCACGCAATGTTCAGAGAAGCCGCGTTAAAATCCAACGAGCTCATATTACGTAAAGAAAATTTACATTCATGATAATCGCCTTATCGTTGCCGCCGCTGACTACTCCCCGAATCCTGATCACGCAAGAGCTAGTCACCGTCGACGCCCTAGTCACGTCCTTACGGATTCATCAGATCCAATAACCTTTGCATTAGACGCCTTCAGATCTAACACTAGGAGCAGGCTTAAGGACCCCGGTAACCGTACGCGTCGAACTCGACAAAGAGTTCGCCGTGCAACCTAACCCATGAATCAGCTCGCTGAGTTTCTCGCCGGATCTTCTCAGCGGGTCGCGATTCCGATCCGGTAGTAGATTCATTCGCGAAGCAGCTGCTCTTGAGCTGTTAGGTCTCCTTCGGAGGCGCTCGGGCAGCTGTTAGCAAATCCCAACCCTCTTGGCTGAGCCTTTGCTCGCCCTTTGCTTGTCCTGGTGAAACTGGAAAGGCCTCCAGGCCACCAGTAATCCTTCAGTCATAAAAAAAAAGTTTTATTTACGTTTGTAAGTTTTTTATTGCCTTAATACATAATAGGGACGGAGCTTATCTCGTCTCAACATAGTAAAATACACTTGAAACAAAATCTCTGAATGTAAAATGAGCACTTTTGGATTCTGTCCAAGTCACTTCGGCAACATAAGACAAAACCTTAACATTATGTTCAAAAACTTATTGTGTTTTAATAAATTAGTATGCCTTAGTAAAAGTGATTTATCGCTTTTCTGTTTACCGCTCACCGATAGCTTAAATTATAATAAAAAAAAACAAATTACGTAATTACGATTCGGTAAGATGATTGTGAGTCATCACAATCCTTGGATTTATCCTAATCACCTCCGTTATAGCCACGTAAGTCAATGTCTAAACTTTCATTAGTCTTGTATTGCATGTCTTTAGTTCTTTTCTTGGCCATCACATAATGCCGCCATTCAAATCAATAGCTTAATCAGTCTCATAGATCTCATTTTTAGTCTCCCATAGTCATATCTATAGCCACGCCCAGGCATTTCACATCTTTAAAAATATCTTAGTCCCATATATTGTTATTTTAGTAGTCCCACGCCCACGTCATTACGGATCCTCCCGATCCATTAACGGTGCTTTTAGGCATCACAAGCACCGGTCACCGACCTCATCGAACCCGTCGCTTGCGACGAAGGGCTCGACGAGCGAATTAACCCATAGACACAGCCCACTGAGTTTCTCGCCGGATCTTCTCAGTGGGTCGCGTTTCCGATCCGGTGGTAGATTCTGCGAAGCACTACTCTTGCTAGGGTCAGTGTTAGCAACATTCCGGTTTGAGCCCCGTGAGCTCACCTACACACGTTAGGGTGAAGCTGAAATAGCCTCTCAAGGCTATCAGCATAGGTAGGGGAAAAAAGTGGCCCAAAGGATAAAGTGCCTGGTATACTCCATAGTTTCGTACGAAGCGACTATGCCGATGTTCAAATCCGGCAGTCAGGTACCGATATTTCTAATGAGATACGCACTCAACAAACGTTCACGTATGTCTTTCAGAATGAAGGTAGAATAATAATCAAATCTTCAATAATTATAGTTCGTAATTACTATACAACTGAGACCTTAAGGCCTTAAGTGTCAAGGTGAGTGGCGGCATTTAAGTTGTGTGTGGGCTGCGGTAACCACTTTTTTTTATTGCCCTTGTAGGCAGACGAGCATACGGCCCATCTGATGGTGAGTGGTTACCGTCGCCCATGGATTTCAGCAATGCCAGGGGAAAAGTCAAGCCGCTGCCTACAAACACCAGGTGAGCTCGTTCACCGGTCTATGTAATAAAAGTCTCAATTTCTAATAAGGGAAATTAACGTAGTATCGCAGATATTTAAGGGCAAGGATTATCGTCGCACCATCATTCTATCTTATTGAAAACGTGATTGGATGCCACGCTGGGATGTCATCCAAGAGTATGGTACTGGTTTAACTACATTATTATTTCAGTAGCAAAATTGAACGCTTATTATAAACAACATGAGTATTTTTATAACGGAACGAACTTCTATTTTTTTAAACACCATATTTTGCTTACACAACTGTATTTACGAATTCAACAATCCCAAAATACATACTGCGGTGCAAGTAAATATTGAGCATGCATTATTATTTTATTCAAACAGATAAGATACCGTTTGCATTTTAAAATGTTGTGTGTGTTTTAAGCTTAAATAAAACAGCGGGAAATACGCTTAACAATAGCAAAACGCTAACGATTATAAAATTAAAAAAATATAATTATTATGTATATTAAAACGTTCCACACTCAAAGGATTTCCTGCTGTTATAAAATATAGTTACCGGAAACATACGGGACAAAAACATCTTTATCGCTTAGCTGGGTAGGCGAACTAACGGCTCACTTGGTCTCAAGTAGTTACCGGAGCCCACGAACGTGAACAAAGTAAAGGCCGCTACCCATCTTAAGACTTGAGTTTAAAGTCTAAGTTTTGTAGTAAGTACAACGCATGCCCCGTTCTTCAAAACAAAATGCATTACTCCTTCGGGCCAGAAACAGGCGGGAAGGTGGTACCTCACATGCCGGCTCACAAGATGCCTTAACATCATTAAAATCAGACCTCAAACTTTTTTTTCCTATATAAGCTGATGGCCTTGAGAGGCCATTTCAGCGTAACCCTAAGAGGTAGGTGAGCTCACGGGGCTCAAACCTGACGACGTTGCTAACACTAACCCTAGCAAGAGCAGTGCTTTTCGGCGATAAGCTCAGTGGGCTGTGTCTGTGGGTTAATTTACTCGCCGAGCCCTTCGCCGCAAGCGACGGATTCGACGAGAACGATGACCGGTAGTTGAGGTACCTGAAAGCACCGTTAGTGGATCGGGAGGATCCGAAATGTTGTGTTTTGGGCGAGACCTCAAACACTAAATATCGTTAACAAAGACAATGAAGCATTAGAACAAAACATATTTATTGATGGTGAAACATATCGCAACACCATTGCATATCGACGCTTGAAAGGCAAACGTGACTAAGCGACAATAACTGATTTGTACATAAATGATAGGAAATAACCATATTCGATGCGCAAAAAAAAATATATTTCTAGGTCTATTAAAATCATTTCAATCATACAGCTACTAGCTAGATTCTACTACAGCTAGATTCGTTAAAATAAATTTTGTTTTAAGGTATTTCAACTTTAAATTAGTCTACTGTAAAGTTTACGCATTGTCGCTTAGTCACTTTTGCCTTTCAAGCGTCGATATGTATCTCAAATTACGGTAAACGTTTGTCTAATCAAATGTAACAAGATATCCGAGGTTAGTATTAACACGATATAGGACATTGGCGGAGTCTCGACTGAATTTAGGTTACAAAGTGCAGACCTATCCGACGGCCCACTTGCTGTTCAGTGGTTTTTGAGTGTGTGTGTGTGTGTGTGTGTGAGTGGGTGTGTGTGTGTGTGTGTGTGTGTGTGTGTGCGCGTGCGTGCGTGCGTGTGTGTGTGCGTGCGTGCGCGCGCGTGTGTGTGTGTGTGTGTGCGTGTGTGCGTGTGTGTGTGCGTGCGTGTGTGTGTGCGTGTGTGTGTGCGTGTGTGTGCGTGCGTGTGTGCGTGTGTATGTGTGCGTGTGCGTGTGTATGTGTGCGTGTGCGTGTGTGCGTGCGCGTGTGCGTGTGCGTGCATCACCCTTTCGCATTGTACCTATATGGGATGGATATGACGAGCGACTCACTAAACGTCCTAGCCTGGCGCTGGAGATCCACTATTTAAGCACGTGACGTTAGGTACGTATTTATTTAGAAGCGTACCTGTCCCAGATTTGAAATATACAATCGAATCAAGTTTACCGAGGACATCCGGCCGGTTTGTCAAGTAAGCCCGATGAATTTATAAAGTACTTAAAAGGCAGTCGAGAATATTAAGATTTCAAAACACAATATTAGCAAAATCTATCAATCCACCTAATCGAACATTTCATTAGAATAACACAAAGGACAAATACCAGATCCGTGTACGTGGTTTGATATCAACAAACATTTTTAATGAGCTTGTGGTCAAGGCGTCCTGCAAAATTTTTAATGATAACGTATTGTTAATAATTGAGGAAGATTGTAGATTTATTTGTAAATTTAAAATTATAGGCCAATGGTATTGTGGTTTATATTTCCGTATGACATATTTGGTGTATAATATTTTTTTAATGAGTGAATTCATAATAATCCTTTGTGGCAGCAAGGAGTCTTCATGTACCACGAAGAGTTAAAGAGACAGCGAATTTTTTGCAGAGCAGCGGTTTCGCTGTACCCCTAGCATTGTTCAAGTAGATGCTACCTAATAATATCTTTGGGCGTTATTTACGCCGATATGTACAAAAATAATTTTAGATAAACAATGGTTTATTAACTACTAGCGACCCGCCCTCGCTTCGCTTCGGAAACATTAAAACACACATGAAACAAAAAAAAAAAAAATTAAAAAAAAAGTAGCCTATGTTCATCAGGGACAATGTCGGCTTCTAATGGAAAAATAATTTTTCAAATCGGTCCAGTAGTTTCGGAGCCTATTCGAAACAAACAAACAAACAAATCTTTCCTCTTTATAATATTAGTATAGATTTGATTTTGATTTCTTATTTACCAATAATTCATGATGATTATTTATTATTCTTTATTCTGTGAGCGAGTCGCGAACGTGTCTGTTACATACCACGTCATCTTGGCCCTGGTGTGTGCACACCTCTCGCATGTACAAACATTTTGTAGCCGAATCGATACGGAAGTCATTTTCATCGATACCGCAAAGGCGATTGATAAAGTCTCGCAAAACGATTTGATTTAGAAACTGTACAATATGGTAGTGCCAAACAGTTTTGTGCTCATCTTACGAGACTTGTTCGATATCGAAGTAACACGTTCTTCTGTTGGCCTCTTCTCGGCCGGAGTCCTGCAAAGCTATGCTGCCTCCCTGCTCCTGTTTATTTGCTATATTATTGACTACTCCGGGTCATCGCCGACCCAGTTATCCAGTTATAAAGACATCTTCGCCGATGGCACTCTCGTCGTCATCACCTCGCTTACAAGAACAAGTTCTCCATTGCGAAAAAACTACAGACAGCAGTCGGAACCTTAAGACGGTAGTAGCCAAAGTGTTGCGTATTGAAGTTAATCATACGTAAAAGAAGGATGTACTTTTTTCAAAAGGAAGCCCCGCGTAAATGTCCCCTTTGTGATGCAGTAACCTCAGCCCAATCACCTTCTTCGGCCAGCCAATATCTTAGACCAGGAAGGTCATAAGCCTGGGAATCATAATGGATAGATATATGGCCCTCAGAATGAACATAAAATAAAACCACAAATGCAGTGTGTTCGTCCTTCTTAAACTTTATCATCTGCAAACTGAGTCAAACATGCCTTTGCACAGTAGACTCCGTCCAAATCTTCGCCGCTTCCTTGGATTAACTGTCAGCGCACCGTAGTACGTGAGGGATGTAAATCTTTACACATCTGTAAGTCTACGAAGTCAGCATCGAAAAGCTACTACTAGATAATCCACATTCCGTGGACACCATCAATCATACATCTTGCCCGGCTCACAAGCTGTCATATTCGACTAAACACGTTTTAATGGATCCGCTTGATCAGCTCCTAGGCTGATTAGACGCAACTGGTTCTGATAGATACAAACCGCCCATAGACACAATCGACTGAGTTTCTCGCTTATCTTCTCAGAGGGTCGCGATTCCGATCCGGTAGTAGATTCTGTGAAGCACTGCTCTTGCTAGGGCTAGTGTTAGCAAATTCACTCAGGTTGAACCCGTGCGCTCACCTACCCGTTCAGGCGTAGCTGGAATAGCCCCTTAGGCCAATAAGTATAGTCACCGTACTCGTCGATCGAGATACTTAACTACACATAGAAAGTCACAGGGATATTTATCTCGGTTTCCTCGATTTGTCAAAAGCTTCCAACTCGGTGAAATGTCATTTTGTATAATACATTATTTGATTGAAGTAGGTATATCGGAATAAATCGAACTAAATGGACTAAGTAAAGGTATATCTGATTAATATCAATTAAAGTGTATGGCCTGCATCAGAACGGTCTAACTCTAACGTCTTCAGGCTTGGTCAACTTTTGTGTGAACAAATTAAATTTTTTGCCCTTGTAGGTAGACGAGCATACAGCCCACCTGATGGTGAGTGGTTACCGTCACCCATGGACTTCAGCAATGCCAGGGGCAGAGCCAAGCCGCTGCCTACAGTAAATAACCTTAACTATGCAAACGACATGGTGCTGCTGGCACTCTCTATTAAGGCTCTTAGAATCCTGGTTGGTATTTGTTGAGTGGTTGGCCACCGAGCACTTCCTCAAGTACAACTCTAATTATTCAAACCTGTTTATATTCCAACCTGGATATTTAAAACCAGCTACAACGCCTCCTATTGTACTAGAATTGATTGTAGAAAGGATACTGAAGGATGACATAGAGTATAGGACGCAACGGTGAAAGCCAACGATTGCACATGTACAAGAAAAACAGCATTGTTTGAATCTTACTGTAAATTTTTCTACTCATGCAACTTGTGAGTTAGACAAACGTAGCGCGCGAAGTCTCGCGTCTGCAATATATGCTTACACAATACTTTTGCGACTGCCGCCGATACTGCAGTGCGTCGCACACTTTCCTAAGGGCACAAGTGAATGTACTTTGAGCTATTATGCGTACAGCGTATCAATATTGTTAGTGTACATTCAACTACGGGTTGGTTAGTTTTAAAAACCTAACATTCTAATAATGCTGTCCATTTTTTTCTTTTTTCTTTCCCTACCTGTTCGCTCATAGCCTAAGGGGCTATTCCAGCTATGCTCGAGCGTGTAGGTGAGCTCACGGGTTCAACCTGAGAGAATTTGCTAAAACTAGCCCTAGCAAGAGCAGGAAGTATTTCTTAGAATCGATTAGATTAGATTCGAATTAGATCGAAACCGCGACCCACTGAGAAGATCCGGCGACTCTTTGTCTATGGGTTAGTTCGCTCGTCGAACCCTTCGTCGTAATCGACGAGAGCGACGAGGACGCTTTCCAACATTCTGCCCCGAACAAATTAGGCCAGGAAAAGGACATTTTCAAAAAAACTATTAAATTTCACTAACATATTTTAAAGTTTTCGTTGTTACTATTTATGGATGTCTGAAAAAAAAACCTAACTAATATTTCGTTGAACCAAATTCTAGTTAATCAGCCAATGTTCAGCTTTTTAATTTTATTAATCATTATTTTTATGTTTTGCTTACCTGTATTTGATCAGCATATTCAAAATCCAATATATTCTTCCACCGAAAAGGCACTTCACGGGATACTCTAAAAGTGGAGCTTACTCCGCTCACTTCTGTGTTGGTGTGAGAGTTTAGATACTCATCAACAGCTTGCATGTGACTCAGTCTTAGGAACTTTAATAATTTGTGCGTGGTACTATTTAGATTCAGGGCCAAGTCTTCATAGCGTAGCACCCTGATAAATAAAGGAATTCAATTGGACCAATAAATGAACTAGAACAGTAACTAAATTGCAACTGCAGCATACACTTTTCTTTTCTTCTTGATTTTTAATTGAACTACTATCTTGTATTGTTAAAATCTGATTCAAAACTATAATATTAAAACATACTACACCGCAACATACCTGCTATATCTTTATCTGTCTAGAATTTCGGGTAATTAAACGGTTGTCTCGAAGAGATTGCTTTTAGCGATAAGACCGCCTATTGTACAAATGTATCTGGTTGTTGACTGTTTTCTGATGTTAATTGTGTTTTGGTGTGCAAAAAAGTATTATTATTATTATTACTTACATAAGTTTATCAGGGTAAAGCTTGAGCAATCGGCTCGCAGCCACATAATCACTTATCATGTCTGCACAGAGGAGCTCAGGATTCGAACAATCTGGTGAAGGGTGACAGAAGTCACGATGCAATCTTGACTGTAGGACACCACGAGGATCTCGGATTAAAAACACAACTTTTGCATTAAGCCTGTAACAATTTATTTTCTAAATATGCTGTCACTATAATGGCTGGGAAATTTAATTTTTTCACTTATTTTACCATAAACCAAAAAAAATTAAGCAAATTGGTCCAATATAATTTACCTAAAACTTGAAATATGATCAGTATGATTTCATGTTATTGATGTCAATAGTTTTAACAATTTTTATCAATAAAGAATTCATACTTGTATCATATTGAACATGGGATTCACAAGTTAGTACAAGCTCACTAATAGTAGTAGTAAATAATTATTTATTCATTAGGAGCAACTTGGATTCACAGACCATATTCATTAGCATAACGACAACTCCTTACCACAATACAACATTCATTTTCAAGGATTAAAAAGTTATCTTCACTGAAATTAGCATTTATCAGATATTTTTAAATCAATAAAATAATAGACTTTAATTATACAAGATCTTTTTAATAATGTTTATCTGTTTGGTAAGCTAGAAATTAAAGCAACACAGAATACTAAACCTAATAGAATAACTTTTTTCTTACCATTATATTTTATGAAGTTGAACTTTCTTGAAAAATATATTACATAAAAACAAATATATATTTTAAATAGAATGAAAATTACAAGTAGTAAGTAGTAATTAAAAATACAAGGAGAAAACAACTTGCTAATTATTTTATTGTGACATATTTTGGCTTTGGAAGTGTAATATAGAATTATAACTTATTCATCAAATACAAAATTAAATAAATTATATTATATAGAAAATTACTCACTCTTTATCTTCCAACAATTCCTGAACAAGACGCAATCTAAGGCGAACAACTTTCATACTTTGAAATGGAAATAATTTGCAAAATTTTGACATAAAATCAGAATCAAAACAAAGTTCCTTCTTATATTTACAATGGTCCCATAATCTGGTGTTATGACTGAACTGATGGTTATGTCCTCGTCCGTAATCTAAAAAATCATCCATCTCTTCAAAGTTACACTTGAGCATGTCTTTTATTGAATTCAAAACGGTTTCTGCTAGCGGAGATCCTCTGATTTGTATAATGCCATAATTCAGAAAAGGTTCATAATGGTAATATGTACCAGGAATAGCATTAATCACCTCACCCAGGAATGTAGAACCAGATCTCCAAGAAGATATTATGATACTTCTCAATGGACGACCACCGGTTTCTATAATTAAGTCATCTAATTTTTTAACTCCAGAATAAGTAAAGTTATAGTTCCACAATTCAAATTGAATTTTAGCTCGTGTTTTTTCTAATATTTTTTCTATATTCGGTGTTCCATCGTAAGAATTCGTAGGTACCGGCTGTGATTCGGTATCCTCTCCATCATCAACTTTAAAAAAATTCTTTATATTCCTTCGACTCTCGGACATCGGACGGTAATTTGTGTTATCTGTATATCGACTTCCAGCAAGAATCAGAAGAACACTGAGACCGAATGCGAAACATATTGAATAAAAATTAACACGTCGAAACATCACGTTACTTAGTAATTTAATATAATTGAAAAATTGTAAGGATGGAAATTATTTTATTAACACCAGCACTATATAAGATCACTCACAGGCATATTTTTAAAAGTTTTATTTAAATTTTACTGGAGTCATAATGCTAGCCCTCTGTTTCCGCGGAAACACCGCATTGCACCCTCATTTCTTCATCACGGCCACTCAATTGAAGTTTGCAACATGCAATGACATTCGGTTGTCATGAAACTTTGAAGCTTTTTTAAGCCTTGGCAGAGGGTTTCACAAAAAGAAAAGACGAATTTAATTAAGTTTCAAGTTAAAAAGAAATTATTTAAATATGATGAAGAACTACTACGCACTATACTTAATAGATTTTCACAAACTATTTTAGTGCTATACGTTCGTAACCCAGCACACGTGCAGCGCGTTGTACTCAGTCGATAACAACTGAACAACAGTCAGGAGTGAAAGCTATTTCGATCAAATATACTATGCAATTTCAAATGTAATTCAAATAAGAAAACGAAGCTACTTATTCGTTTACAAAGTTTGAATGCCACATGAATTGTTGTTACTCACTGTTTCCTGTCGATCTTTTTATACTGCAGTACCTACCTGGGTACTTATAATCTTATTTTTTAAGTTTATTATCATAGAAGTATATTATTATGTTAAACATTTACATCGATAAGATTTGAGAGGTGGATAATTTTACCTGCAAGTACCTTTATCCGCAGTTACAGTTTTTTTTAAATGAGTATATTGTACAAAGACTGTTGCATCTATTATTTTTGGGATTTTACTCCTTGATGACAGCTTTAGTTTTGAATGCATTTTTTTTAATGTTTTCCTATTAAAAAAATATAAAGTTCCCATAAGTGTGCCTATTGTCTATTGCTTATATAGGTGTACGAGCTCACAGCCCACCTGGTGTTAAGTGGTTACTGGAGCCCATAGACATCTACAACGTAAATGCGCCACCCACCTTGAGATATAAGTTCTAAAGTCTCAGTATAGTTACAACGGCTGCCCCACCCTTCAAACCGAAATGCATTATTGCTTCACAGCAGAAATAGGTGGTGGTCCTACCCGTGCGGACTCATAAGAGGTCCTACCACCAGTAATTAATTACGCAAATTATAATTTTGCGGGTTTAATTTTTATTACATACACGATGTTATTCCTTCACCATGGAAGTCAATCGTGAACATTTGTTAAGTACGTATTTAATTAGGAAAATTGGTACCCGCCTTCGGGATTCGAACACCGGTGCATCGCTCGATACGAATGCACCGAACGTCTTAGCCTTTAGGCCACGACTTCACTATAAATATACTTTGTTTGTAAATATACCTTTAACCTCGCTTTTCTGTGTCAAGTGACCCGGTTAAGGTTGTAACATCATAAATGACGAGGAAATGCAGTTGTAGTGAAGTTTGAAATATAGATATATAATTTTTTAAATATCACTCTACTCCCTCAAACTGCAGTCTGTACTGAAAATACTTTTAGGTGCAAAACGTTGAAAACGACAATTCGTAGGTATGCCCCTCGTTTCCTTATCGAAAAACCGAGATGTTAAGCTTACGCTGATAAGTTTTCTGTTTAACTTTAACTTTAAATATGTTTGCTGCACGTCTCACAACGACAGCATAAATTAACAATTTCGTAATTTTTTAAGGTTCATTATTTCTATAATGTATGAAAGAAAGAAGCCTTACGTATATAATATATTAAAATAACTCAATCGGAGGGAAATATTGATCTCGGGAGTAAACAGGAAAATACAGTTTGTATTGAATAAAGGCAATAAAAAATGTTTATTTAAATTTTAAAGTTACCTATTGAACACGTCTGGTTTCAGCTGTGTTATATTATATAACTTTAAATACCTACTACCTAGTCAGGTCATAAAATCTGTCACATGTTTAATGTAAAATAATTGAAACAAGTTTATTCATTATGTAACCATTCATATACCAAAATGAACTTAACAAAACATAGATTCTTATGACAGTAAAGTTTATTCAAAATGACCTCCGTGATTTGGAATACAGGCCTTCAATCTACGCGGCCAGTCGTCTATCGCAGCACGAACGAGGCCATGTCAATATCGGCGGCTGCCTTAATCAAGGATGTCTTGAGTGACTCCAAATTGGGATGAGGCTTTGAGCACGCCTTTTCCTCCAAGTGTTGCCATATCTTGTAATCTAACGGATTCAAATCTGGACTGGAGGAGGGCCAGTCTTCGTGCCGGATGAAGTCGATTTCACGCGCCGCCAGCCAGTCTTGTGTGCTCTTCGCTCTATGAGCTGGCGCCGAATCTTGTTGGAATACCCAGTGCCTGTTATTGAACATGGTATGAGAAACAGGTTCCACAAGGTTCGTCAGGACTGTATTTTGATACACAACTGCATTCGTTTTTACACCTTTCTCACAAAAATGTACCTCTGTTAAGCCCCAATAAGAAACTCCCAACCATACCATGAGCGAGGATGGAAAATGACCTCGTTGGACACGCGGAATACGGTTGCTCGCTTCTTCACTACTGTGTGCGTACACCTTATCATTTTGTTTGTTGTAGCTCTCTTCTACGGTAAAAATTTTTTCATCCGAAAAAAGAATTTCCCGATATTTTTTTCCCGCGTACCGCTTCAACAAAGCGCGGCATCTCTTCAGTCTCAGGTCCATTAGACGAGCATTCAAACGATGTCCTGTTTTTCTTCGATATGCCCGAAGCCCTAAGTCTTCATTTAACACCCTTTTCACCGTGGTTCTGCTTAACCCCATCTGAAGGGCCAACAGTTTCTGCTTACGTTTGGGATTTCTTTGAATTCGCGCCTTCACAGCTTTTATCACTGCTGGAGTCCTAACAGACCGAGGGCGACCACTTCTTGACCTGTCATCTACACTAGAGTCTTCATTGTATCGTTTGATGGTACGATAAACGAATCTTTTGGTTATATTCAAATTTTTCAGTATGTTAAAAATTTGAATTGGCGCGTAGCCGCAACGATGCAACGCAATAACTGCAACACGGTCTTCTTTAAGCGTCCACTCCATATTTAAAAATGAGTAAAATTCTAAAAGTATACATTTTTATTTTCATGAACAATTCGAAATTCGAATTCAATAAACTTTTTTGTGGTCAGCATTCTAAAAGAAAAGTTTTTACTGTGTGACAATACTTATGACCTGACTAGTTATTTATGGTCATTACGAGAAGAAATAATGGAGAGTTCTAAAAGTATCCGTTCAGATAAAAACTCGAATAGCGTCTAAAAGTAGATTATAAAAGTTTTAGATTTTTAACATAATTAACAGGTAATAGAACACAGACTCTAAATTTTCTAGAAAATGCATGGATGTGCACGACAGTCAAAATGTTTCGAAATACCAAAAATCCGCTAATACCATTTTACCACCAAATTAACATTAAGAAAACTTCAAAAATAAAATCATAATGTTACAGAACAGAAATAATGGCTTAAAAAATAGTTTGAGCTAATGATGGAAATTAACAAAATCGATGAAAATTTATCAAAGACTCAACCACAATTACCAAATCATTCGTAACGTGTGTGTACCTAGTATATTGTGAATTCGCATCACCAGTGCATTTTAAACAAATTGAACAGCAACCAACTTAACTAATTTTAATTGACGCCAAAACTGACAAACAACTTTATCTTACGAATATCAAATTTAATGTAGTTATTTTTGTTTGGTGTATATTCAATGTAACGCTTCGTGTTCCTCCTTTACAACGAGTTAATTAAATTATAATTCATCGTGTATCATCGTAATTTTATTAATAAAAAATCAAAATAATATATTAAGCAAAATTTAACAAACACACCAAAAGCCACTTCTGTTTTTTTCTCAGTAAGTAATATATAATATACCGATGCAGCATTATGATCTATACAAACTTGTACGATTGAAATAGTTTCAAACTTGATAGCCAACGATGTGAAATTTCCCAATAGTTTCGCCCAAGAAGAACCATAGGCCGATTTCCGTACTAATCAAGAAGAGAAGCCACGCTTGTTTGACTGTCAGGTGTTTGTAGCAGCCAGATTTCATGAATTCTTGAAATAATTTCAAATCTTCTTTAAGTTTCTAAAAAAATACATCACATCTCTTAAAACAGAAGAATATATTTTCTTTAGTTTAGCCTTATAAGCCTTATAAATAATTAAAACTACTTTTACAACGTTCTTGTGCCCAAAACTAAAAAATATTCGCAACGTCCGAAAATAACAAAAAACGCGAGATTAAATCGTAAAAATAGTTTTGATTACAGAAGAACTAATTTCATATTCATATTCTAATTTATTTACGGCCATTTCCTCTGAGCTCGATGGTGGTGCCATTTCCAGGGTGTAAAAACCTTTCGCGGTCTTCATTTTCTCAGCAAGTTTAGATCTTTTTGCGTTTTCGATTTGCTCTATGAAAAAAAATATGAAAGATTTATGGGATATTTTTGAGGTCCTGTAACCTTTTTAACCGACTTAAAAAAATTAGGAGGTTCTCAATTCGACTGTACGTTTTTTCTTTTTATATTTGTTACCTCATAACTTTTGACTGGGTGAATCGATTTTGATGATTATTTTTTTATTAGAAAGCTGACGCTTCGCGTGTGGTTCTTTTTCAATTTAGTCCAGTTCTGATAATGGTATCCATAAGAAAACCATATAAGTCTTAAATTTGCCTTAAGTTCGTGCGCGACAAATAGATGAATAACTCAATAACTCAATATCACACCAACCGATTTCGATGATTATTGTTTTTAGTGTATATTAATTTGTTTTGGAATATCTTTTTTTTTTTCTATTTGAAGTCGATTTTTGTTAAAGCATGTCTATTTACACGCTCAGTAAATCCGAGGCCATGTGGTTCCACAGGCCCCGGAGAGTGCCACCTGTCGATGCCCATATCGTGGTTGGAGGCGTCCGTATCGGGGTCGGGGTGCAGTTGAAGTACCTCGGCCTCATTCTGGACAGTCGTTGGACCTTCCGTGCTCACTTTCAGAATCTGGTCCCTCGTTTGTTGGGGGTGGCCGGCGCGTTAAGCCGGCTTCTTCCCAATGTCGGGGGGCCTGACCAGGTGACGCGCCGTCTCTATACAGGGGTGGTGCGATCAATGGTCCTATCTATACGGGGCACCCGTGTGGGGCCAGTCCCTGGCCGTGGGGGTAGCGAAGCTGCTGCAACGGCCGCAACGCACCATCGCGGTCAGGGTCATCCGTGGTTATCGCACCATCTCTTTCGAGGCGGCGTGTGTACTGGCTGGGACGCCGCCTTGGGTCCTGGAGGCGGAGGCGCTCGCTGCTGACTATCAGTGGCGGGCTGACCTTCGTGTCCGGGGCGTGGCGCGTCCCAGCCCCAGTGTGGTCAGAGCGCGGAGGGCCCAATCTCGGCGGTCCGTACTGGAGTCATGGTCTAGACGGCTGGCCGATCCTTCGGCTGGTCGTAGGACCGTCGAGGCGATTCGCCCGGTTCTTGTGAACTGGGTGAATCGTGACAGAGGACGCCTCACTTTCCGGCTCACGCAGGTGCTCACTGGGCATGGTTGCTTCGGTGAGTTCCTGCACCGGATCGGAGCCGAGCCGACGGCAGAGTGCCACCATTGTGGTTGCGACTTGGACACGGCGGAGCACACGCTCGTCGCCTGCCCCGCATGGGAGGGGTGGCGCCGTGTCCTCGTCGCAAAAATAGGAAACGACTTGTCGTTGCCGAGTGTTGTGGCATCGATGCTCGGTGACGACGAGTCGTGGAAGGCGATGCTCGACTTCTGCGAGTGCACCATCTCGCAGAAGGAGGCGGCGGGGCGCGTGAGAGACGCACAGGCCCGCCGCCGTCGAGCGGGGGCCAGGGAGGCGGATATCGCCCAAGCCCTGGCCCTCTAAGTGTTTCGGGTCTCCCTCACATGTCGGCCTGGGGACCGGCGAAGGGGGCCTAAGAAGACGACGTGCAAGCTGCTCTGCACGCGTTTTATGCATGAGCATCCGGGTGATGGAAGGCCGGCTATCCTCAACCCACGCTGGTTCTGACCCAGCGGGGTATTCCGTAGGATAGACCATTCTAACCGGCGCCATCTAGGCGGGCTTCGGATAGCCTGCCGACCGAGAGGGCTGGTGGTCGTGGCGCCGACGACCGCCAGTCCGGCGTCCCGAGGGGGAGGGTGATGGGAGAGATGTGCTCCGCACTAAACGCTTCACTTTCCCCCCTTTGCCTTTTCATGAGTTTTGTCTCATGCGAGGTTTGGACGTTGGTTGTTGAGAGACAGGAGGTTTTAGTCGGTTCGACTCCGACATGCCCCGCCCTCCATCCCCAGTGAAGGGCGGAAGTCCGGCGATTTCCTCCTGACAAAAAAAAAATAATAATTTCTATTTACAATTATTACAGTCAACACCTGACAGTTAATTCTATTGCTCCTTTCATCAAATACACAAAAACACCTGCCCAATTAAATTACATGCTTTTCCTTTTAACCAAATAGCGTTAGTGACTTTGCATAACAAATAAAATTGATAATTTTATTGATAAAGTTAGTTGTTTTAATTAACTATTGCTGTTCAAAAAATCTTTAACATCTACAAGGTCCCTTTGAAGTATTTTATCAGAATTTGTTGTTTCGAAATTGTCGGCTTTCGGCTCTACTGCAGAATGATGACGATACAATCTTGAAATAATATTTAGAATTATTACTCACATGCTTTGTGTCGGTACTTTAAAACGATAGCAATACTTACTTGTGGTAGGACCTGTTTTGAGTCCGCGCGGGTAGGTACCACCACCCTGCCTATTTCTGCCGTGAAGCAGTAATGCGTTTCGGTTTGAAGGGCGGGGCAGCCGTTGTAACTATACTGACACCTTAGAACTTATATCTCAAGGTGTGTGGTGCATTTACGTTTGTAGATGTCTATGGGCTCCAGTAACCACTCAACACCGAGTGGGCTGTGAGCTCGTCCACACATCTAAGCAATAAAAAAAAAAAGTAGGATAAAGAACCTTGATTGCTATTTCGCTTGCGTTTGTTTTATTAAGCATTACATTTTGGTAAATGTATTGGAGGTTAAGCCGGTCGGATTTGACTTCTCCCGGACAGAGTAGGTCAGAGGTTCTCAAAACTTTTGACCCAATAGCCGTAGTCGAACTTCTATCATCGAGCGTCCTTTCATAGCCTTCATGTTTATACGAGTACATAATAATAATTTGTACTTACTTTAAAAAAATAGACTTAGAGCCAGTGTATTATTTTTCCTAAGGTGCATTTGTTGACGTGTTAGGCACATCATAATTATGAACCATTCTATAATTTAATAAATACTATATAAATTTTATTAGATATTGCACCTTTTTTTTTTTACCTACGGCAATAAAAAAAAATCTTTAGGCTTAAATAAATAAATGTTATTTATATAATCTAATGAATTAAGTTTTACCTTGCAACAAATCCTTTATTTTTTCTTTGCTTTTGAGTGGCATATTTACTTCTGCCCATTGTTGGAACAACGATATTTTGCTGCCTACGGATTTATGATTTATTTTTCTTAATTAAATAAATAGGCCTACATTTGGCCCAACTGTATTAATGGAATTGAAAATTGTGTGATGCTATTAACACAAAATGAAGACTGATATTCTGCTTATATAAATTTGTTAGAAATTAAACAAGTGTTTTTTAATTGCTCTAAGCGTGAACACGGCTTAAAGTAATTACAGTGCGTATGTCATCACCCACATTGAGGTCTTGAGGACCACTTGAGGTCGAAGTCATAATCGGATTGTATACAATTTGTCGCCCCTTTCAGTCGAAACGAAGGCGCGGGTCTTGTATTTCTAAATATTGCTTAAAAGTTCCGACTCCATAGGCATTTCCTTAGAAAAATTGGTACCGTCTTATCCTTTCTTCTTAATGGCAATTAAGTTAGGACGTTATGCAAATTTTTTTGGTGTTTACTTTAAATGTGAATTTAAAAGATCCAGTCACTTACGAAATAAATTACCAGCGAGTTTAACAACGTTTACGCCTGTAGCCATATCTATTAAGTTCCGTTATCTTTCCGAGTGAATGATTGCTTGTAATTAACACACCAGTAGAATAATTATTTATGTATGTGCATATAAAATACACGAAACACTAGATAAGTACGGGGTGCGCATGTGCTTTAGATATTCATAAAATCATTCTAATTTAAAGTTTGACATTACGTCGTTTGATGCGTCTATGCGCGTATAAAGAAACCGATTTCAAAGAGTTTCGTTACCTTGAATAGTACTAACAAAACAATTTATTTGAAAAATACGTGGATATTTGTGCATTTGGAAATTTCAAGTAAGTTGGTGTAGTCACTGGTGGTACGACATCTTGTGAGTCCGCATGGGTACCTAAGTACCACCACCCTGCCTACTTCTGTCGTGACCTTGGAACTCATAATTCAAGTTGGGTGGCGTTATTTACATTGTAGATGTCTATGGGTTTCGGTAACCACCTAACACCTGGTGGGCCGTGAGTTCGTCAACCCATCTAAGCAAAAAAATAATTAAAGAGAACCCCTAAATGCCATGCATTAGAAGACATCCATCCACCCATTTATCTAAAATGACTATTTTTCTAATTTCACGAATTCTTACTTAGTATTTTTAGTCATAGCAGGCTGGTGTAATTACTCTTGTTTCCACACCCCCGATCATCCGTTTCAGCCAACCAATACTCTGGGCTAGGAAGGTCAAGTACCTGGGAGTTACCCTGGATGCATCGTTGACATTCCGCCCGCATATAAAAACAGTCAGCACCCGCGCCGCTTTTATTATCGGCCGACTTTATCCTATGATCTATAAGCCGTGTAAAATGTCCCTTCAGAACAAGGTGTCACTTTACAAAACCTGCATACGGCCTGTCATGACTTACGCTACTGTGGTGTTCGCTCACGCAGCCCGCACGCAATCCCTATAATCCCGCTTTTGCAGGTTAGCCGTAATTCGTGAGGAACGTTGACCTACACGATGACCTGGGCCTCGAATCAATCCGGAAATACATGAAGTCAGCGTCGGAACGGTACTTCGATAAGGCTATGCGTCATAATAATCACCTTATCGTTGCCACCGCTGACTGTTCCACGAATCCTGATCAAGCAGGAGCTAGTCACAGTCGACGCCCTAAGCACGTCCTTACGGATTCATCAGATCCAATAACTTTTACATTAGACGCCTTCAGCTCTAACAGTAGGAGCAGGCTTAGGGGGGGCCTGGTAATCGTACTCATAGAGTTCGACAAAGCCTTTGCTCGCCCGCCTGTCCTGGTGAAACCGGAAAGGCCTCCGGACCACTTCAAGCATTAAAAAAAAACTTTAATTTCCATGTCCCTAACTGTATTCGATTTTAGTGTTCTTATTCACATTCAGCTTAGATACTCATATAATTACTACTAGCCTTTAAGCTGGTGGTTTCCCATTAACGTTACTTGTAGGAAATACATATATAATAAAAATACAAATATAATAAATTTACTGCAGACCGAAAAGTTCCTTAAAATATAGTCGTGTAAAGTATTTTAAATTTGATGAAACGACTCGCGCACTACCGTTTGTAGTCTGTCGGTTCTATACAAAAACTTTCACTGAAATGCCATCAAGAACTGCTCAAAGTTTTAAGTTAATTGAATAAACAATATATATATTTCCTTTATTTATTTATTGTGGTAGACTTTTAACCGGTCTAAAAAGCGATACAAGACGTAAATGCTCTTTTTTACAAATAGCAATATTATCTAGCGATAAGAAAATGTTACTTTGCCAGGGGCTTTATTCGTTTAAATTAACATCATTAAAACAAGGAAATAAATGATAATCGGAAGTTAGGGTTTATTTTAATATAAAATATTTTTGTCATTAATTTAGATCGATGTTGCTGATACACCGGCTTGTATTAAATGATTACTGAAATCCAAATACACCAACCACTACGGTTATAAAGATCAGCTATTTCTTGGGTGCTTGTTTCGCATCTTTGTTTTTAGAACTCTCTTTACTTTCTTTAGGCTGAGGCTTTCCCGTCATTTTGACATTGGTCTCGACTTTTTTAGCAGGTTGCTGTTGAGGTTTGGCTTCTACCTTTTTAACCTGTTGACTTCCAGCTTGCATTTCAGGCTTCTTGTCACTTTTTTTTGCGTCTTTGCTCTCGGCCGTACCAGTTTTTTTCTTTAATTTTTCCGCTTCATTCTTTTTCCTCTCTTGCTCTTTAGCCATCGCCTTCAATTTTGCTTTTTCTTGAGCAGCTTTAATAGATGCCTCCTTCTCATGTATTTTTCTTCTCTCTTCGGCATCCATATCCCTTAGCTTCTTTTCCAAACCACTTATAAAACTATCGACCGTCTTGGAAACGATTCCTTCCAAGTTTTGTCCCACTTTTCCGTGAAAAAAATTCAAAGTCATTGGTGGTGCCATTTCGGTTTTCGCGTATTGCCATGCAATGGAAATAGGAGGTTTTAAAGCTTTGCTTGATGCTGTAAATGATAGATATATATAAATATATACAACAAGCCGTAAAAGGGCAATTGTCACTGTTGATTTTATATGAAAAACAGTTCGTTTCGTTTTAATTATACTTGTTTGCATCACGACTGTTCGCCCTTCAATTTTCTTTTGACCTTTTCTAATTCTTTTTGAAGGTATTCTAACTCTCCTGGCAATTGTTTATCTCGTAATTGTATCATTTTCACAACTAAAAGCTCTGTGACCCTATCCAGTGCGTCTTCCACCTTTGTTACAACTGGATTGCTAACAAGCGGTTTGACTGGTGTCGAAATAATAGTTGTTTTCGTCTTAAACCACAATTTAGACACTACTGGACGTACTGTTTGTATTGAAACTGAAAAATAAACAAACGCGGATTTGTATTTGAATAGTTCGTACGAATCCGCTATTGTTTAAGGACGTTTCATAATTAAAATTCAAAGATGTTGTCAACATTGACTTACTCTTTCTTAACTGTGACCAAACAAGTAAGATTCGTTAAACACAATAGCTTAAAGAGGTGACTCAGTGATAGCGTAGATTGCAAATGTGCTCGAGAGCCATCGGGTGTATAATTAGAGTTCATATACATAACGAAATTATTGCCATTCTTATTGAGAATTGAGGTCTAAGTCTCAATATTATTAACAGCTATATCATGAATCTTGAATCTAGAACGTGGATTGCTTTTCGGTAAAAATAGCAGTAGGTAGTTCTAATCCATGTAATCTCAAATCATGCCTATCACTAATACGCTAATTCGTAGATTTTGTGATTTATTTATTCAAACTTAATTGCTTGAGAATTATCCCCACCATAGATCATAGACTACACTGATCTCTTACCACAATTGAGGTCACGGCGCGGTCGCTTTTTGCTACTTAATCAACAGTAAATTACTAATTAAGATCTTCGTTTTAAATTAAATAAACCTATTTACCCAAGGCTAAATCTAGAGCTTTTCGTGTTACTCTAGCCATTTTCTAAAAATTATAATTTCTTGTGTTTTCTCGCTTGTATAATTTCCTAATTTACATTAATTTCGAGTTCATAGACACTTTGTAAACAACGAAATGAAGTCATTGTAATGACAACTGTCAAATCTATTGCACGACCGAAGCGATTTCTTAAATATGATTTTCATGGCTGCCAGTACGTGGATTAGTTATTGTGTAAGTAAGCTATGGTAATATAATATACATCACTTAAACACTCTAATAAGACCAGCCATTTAGCGGCCCACGTTTCTCAAGCCGTCATTGCCCAATGATGCGAATGAATTTTCTAGTCATTGTATTTCTTAAGTTAAGAAAAATATGTGTAGTTATTTCATTTTCGGTGGATTTTTGTGGCTTTCTTAGTAATAGATTATACAGGAACCATTGGATCGTTCCAGAACGCGATAGCTAAAATAAAACATTTGCTGTTTTTGTTTTTTAGTTACGCACTTTATTATCTACTAGCGACCCGCCCTCTCTTCGCTTCGGAAACATTAAAACACACATGAAACCAAAAAAATAAAATAAAGAAATAATAAAAAAAAGTAGCCTGTGTTCATCAGGGACAATGTCGGCTTCTAATGGAAAAAGAATTTTTCAAATCGGTCCAGTAGTTTCGGAGCCTATTCGAAACAAACAAACAAACAACCCTTTCCTCTTTATAATATTAGTATAGATAAATTTAAAGAACTAGTGGTTCTACTATCTAGGTAAACCGTAGGGGTGTTATCAACGGCAGAGTGCCACCATTGCGATTTGCACACGGCAGAGTATACGCTCGTCGCCTGCCCCGCATGGGAGCGGTGGCGCCGTGACCTCGTCGCAAAAACAGGAAACGACTTGTCGTTGCCGAGTGTTGTGGCATCGACGAGTCGTGGAAGGCGATGCTCGACTTCTGCGAGTGCACCATCTCGCGGAAGGAGGCGACGGGGCGCGTGAGAGATGCACAAGCCTCCCGCTATCGAACGGAGCCAGGGAGACGGATCTCGCCCAAGGCCTGGTCCTCTAAGTGTTTTGGGTCCCCCTCACATGTCGGTCTGGGGACCGGCAAAGGGGGCCTAAGAAGCTGCTCTGCACGCGTTTTACGCAAGAACATCCGGGTGATGGAAGGCCAGCTATCCTCAACCCACGATGATTCTGACCCAGCGGGATATTCCGTAGGATAACCCATTCTAACTGGCGCCATTTAGGCGAGCTCCGGATATCCTGCCGATTGAGAGGGCTGGTGGTCGTGACGCCGACGACCACCGGTCCGGCGTCCCGAGGGGGAGGGTAATTGGAGAGATGTGCTCCGCACTAAACGCTTCATTTTCTCCCCTTTGCCTTTTCATGAGTTCTATCTCATGCGAGGTTCGAACGTGTGAACGACAGGATTTAGTCAGTTGGACTCCGACATGCCCCGCCCTCCATCCCCAGTGGAGGGCGGAAGTCCAGCGATTTACTCCTGACAAAAAAAAGGGTTTACGTTGAATATATGGCAGTTGATTAATTAAAAAACAAATTGGTATATGTAGCATAAAGCAGATAAACTTAATATATATATATATGTCGTGGATAACGACTTTTAGTAATATTAAGACGGTGGTTTTGATTATTATTTTAAATGATGAAATGTTGTTTTGATAAATATCACAAAATGAAGGGTAGACTCCGTAACGCCACAGTATAAAATGGCGGTACGTGGACAGAGTCGTGGCATTCCGTGTCAGACAGTAATTCTGTCCGTCTCAGTCAGTGAGTCTCTGTCAGTCAGTCAGTCGGTCAGTCGGTCTGTCGGTATATGCAACGAAACTGTCGGTTTACCCTGTCATTGTGAAAGTTGTGTGTGTTGAGTTTCAATAATTATTATTGAAAAGTTTTATTGACTAAACTGAGTTCAATCGAATACGAGCGATGACGGAACCTACCGCTCAGCCATCCCTGACGTGTGCTGACATATATATATTTGCCTTTAGCAAGCAATTCAGATGCAACTCGTTATTAGGAAATAAAAAAGAATTCCTATCAACCATTAACACGCTTTATGGTGTATCTATATTTAAAAAAAACTGAACATAATGGTGGTGGTTCATATTCAAACCTGTGGTTTTATTTGTAATATCGAAAATTGATACGGCCACGAGTTGTGTCAACATTATAATTTACGTAGAGTGCATTGTGTATGTGTGTGCGTGTGCGTGTAATACGTTTAAAGAAAATAATCGTCCATCTTGATAAAATCGACGTGATTTATGCATCAAACTATTTGATAATAACGGCGAATAAATTTATAAATGTAATCGCTGATATGTAAAAAGAAATACGCAATCTTATAATGAAAATGAAGAAAAGGCTACGAATGTCGGTTGCCTATTTGTAAATTCACTTACTTGAATCTGATAGTTTTACCACCAAATAGAATAACTAAAGGTACACACCACTGGCAGCGCCATTCTAATTGAGGTCAGTGACTTAGAGACGCTTTGGTGTCTTGTTGGTAACGTAAAATGAATGCAACAATGTAAGTAAACTTCATAAATTATTTATTTCCTGCCATTTTGATATCATTTAAGGCGAATAACTCAAAAGCCTGAGTGGCCCGTAAAGAAAGTTTAACTTGACGTTTCGAAAAACTATAATGAATAAACTATTGCTTAAAGATTTAGGTGAAGGCTATTTATGCCTATTCTTATTATTATAATGTACATTAAACAAAGCAGTGTCTTTGGTCAACGACTCCGCAAAATTTTGACTTTTTGTTTTATTAACATTGAAATCGTTATCTATTTCCAAAATAATCACACTCGTTAACTATTTCAAAATTAAGATAGTAGATTTTAATGTTAAGTCTCCCATTCTAAAGTATTTTTGTAAACTACATTTAACAGAACCAATAAATAAAATAAATAAATATTTACTAACAATCACGCCACGTTAACTGGTCCCGTGATAAGTTCGTAAAGAACTTGTGTTACAGGTACCAGATAACGGAAATAAATGTAAGATTTTTATTATACACATACATATATTTAATATACATCCATAACCCTGGAAAATACATTTATATTTATCATACAAATATCTCCCCTTGGCGGGATTCGAACCCGCGACTCCCTTGTGTAGTGAGCATGTCTCTTACCACTACACCAGACGGCCGTTTACAATAGTGGTTAGGTTAACTTTCATGAAGTTGTCGTGGCCTAAAGGATAAGACGTCCGGTGCATTCGTATGAAGCGATGCACCGGTGTTCGATTCCTGCAGGCGGGTACCAATTTTTCTAATGAAATACGTACTCAACAAATGTTCACGATTGACTTCCACGGCGAAGGAATAACATCGTGTAATAAAAATGAAACCCGCAAAATTATAATTTGCGTAATTACTGGTGGTAGGACCTCTTGGGAGTCCACACGGGTAGGTACCACCACCCCGCCTATTTCCGCCGTGAAGCAGTAATGCGTTTCGGTTCGAAGGGTGGGGTAGCCGTTGTAACTATACCGAGACCTTAGAACTTATATCTCGAGGTGGGTGGCGCATTTACGTTGTAGATGTCTATGGGCTCCAGTAACCACTTAACATCAGGTGGGCTGTGAGCTCGTCCATCCATCTAAGCAATAAAAAAAAAAAAAAAAAAACCATCGATTTATAAGAAAACGTTTTAGTTATCGAAGATAACCATATAAAAGGATCAGGACTACCTTCGTGTTTTTGTTCACTGCGATTTATTTATAATAAAATAGGACTTGATGATGCAAATTGGGAAAACCTTGAGGAAATGACGATAATGAGGAAACACAGCAGCACTATGTGCCGATGGTGAATAATTTGGTAAAAATCACATTAAATGAAGACTGCAGCTTAGTCTATTCCGGAAATTATTAAACTATAGCAGAATAAAGCAAAAAATATCTGCAAATTCGATAACCAATAACATTAAAACACTCTTTGGACCTTAAATTCTATATTGGAATTTTCGTATACTGTGTCCATATCTCACTTAAAGAAAATAAAACGTGACAACTTACCGTTTATTTTGTGAATAATAATATAATTGGTGAAAAGCTGTATTATCTAGAGATATCAATACATAAATTATTCGATCGTGCCTACCATTTTATTTCTTTCGATTACCAAAAATCGTTTTTGTTTCCAAATCCGAAAAAGTATGTAAGATTGGTTAGTTTAAAAATGTCAATGACATCGATATTAATTGTAATCGTACAAAATATTGTTTGTTGACAAAGATCGATCAGTCGGACAAGGCGTTGAAGAGAGTTCATTCGCTCTTTTTGCGAATGACGGGAGATACGTACATATGTACACTGTATATTGTGTTCAATACTCATATTCGTTATTCACGTATTCTTAGGATATTTAAATTTATCTGTATTCACGAATGTGCCTTAAAAGGGTCTCTCCTTAGTCATCTAAATTGCGAAGTCGTTGTGGCCTAAAGGATAAGACGACCGGTGCATTCGTATGAAGCGATGCACCGGTGTTCGAATCCCGCAGGCGGGTACCAATTTTTCTAATGAAATACGTACTCAACTAAATGTTCACGATTGACTTCCACGGTGAAGGAATAACATCGTGTAGTAAAAAATCAAACCCGCAAAATTATAATTTGCGTAATCACTGGTGGTAGGACCTCTTGGGAGTCCACACGGGTAGGTACCACCACCCCGCCTATTTCCGCCGTGAAGCAGTAATGCGTTTCGGTTCGTAGGGTGGGGTAACCGTTGTAATTATACTGAGACTTTAGAACTTATATCTCGAGGTGAGTGGCGCATTTACGTTGTAGATGTCTATGGGCTCCAGTAACCACTTAACACCAGGTGGGCTGTGAGCTCGTCCATCCATCTAAGCAATAAAAAAAAACAAAAAAATACATAGGGTAATAATCATAATGTAGGTATAATAAACTTTTTTATTTTAATTTATTTACAAATGACACTCCCTTTTTATTTAAATAAAATCATACATAATTATTGGGTGCGTGACC